GTTCGACCCTCAGCACCACATACAAACAAAGATGTTGTGTCCGCCGAAAACTAAAAAATAAAATATTGAAATTCTCTCTCTCTCTCTCTCAAAAAAAAAAAGGAATTATTTGGAAGGCTTGTAAAATACAAATTGCTGGGCTCCAACCTTCTAATTCAGTAGATCTAGGATGAACCCAGAAGTTTGCATATCTAGTAAGTTCCCAGGGGATGCTAAGGCTAATGGAGGGAATACATCTTGAGAAATATTGACACAATGAAATGAATTAACATTTGGATGATCTATAACTCTAAGTGAAATAATATTCTCTGAATGACTGATCAAGGATGTTACAAAATCACATTTGGGTAAAAAAATTAATTCAAACTGCATGATAGACCAGTAGATTTTAATGTAACCTAAAACGAATTTAAAAATTCACTGGTATTGTTTCAGATTCCACTTTTCTTAAAAAACTACCACTTGTTGAGTTCTGGTTTAGTAGGAACGAATGCTGCCAACTATCTGAAAAGACAAAATACTGTTTCCCTTTCTCAACTACCTACTTGTGTGAAGTCACATATTCTTTATGTTTAAACAAAACAACATATCATAAGAGAATGAGTGGAGAAACTGATATGAGACTCTAAGGTGTTTTCAATTAAGCCAGCTATTAGAGATGTGCAAAAATATAAAACAATGCCACTTGACTCACATTAAAAAATTCTGTGGGACACAAAAACTATCATAAGGATCACGTAATTGATATTAACATAAGAAGTTTAATATTTTAATAAATAAATAGACAAATTTAGATTAAGAATAAGAAATAGTTTCTTAAAAGGTAAATTGCTTAAAAGTTGAAGTAACTTTCCTTTGAATACAGAACAAGTTCACATACTATACAGAACCACCAGTTCTCATTGTCATAATGCATACCTAGTTTTCAAAATCCGGGCATCATCTCATTTCATGTTACTGCTCCTTTTGTCTGTTATACTTCCATCACACTAGTTTTTTTTTCAGATTCCCTGCGCCCCCCCTTTAGCTTCTTTAAGCACACTAAATTCTTTTCTGTCTAGAGCCTCTGCACTTATACTTTCCTAGCACTCTTCACATAGCTGGCTCTTTTGTATTCTGTAGGTCTCTGCAGAGACCACTTCCCTTCCAGTCACCCTACATAAAGGTGTCTCTCTCATATTATTCTACATTTTAGGCCAGTAGACTTGACTGTAGGCAATACAACCTGAAACGGGGCTTCTTGGGTTTTGCTTGCCCCTTCATTACAATGCATGCTCTATGAGGACAGAAACCCAGTTGTCTTATATCAAAATTATATAGTCTTAAGATCTAACAATGTGTGACACATGGTAGATATTAAAGAACTAATGTTTGAAAAACAAAAATAAAACAGTTTTGGGTTGTTTGATATCAGTAAATTTTTAATATGATCATTTCATGTATTTGTTATCATTTCCAATTGTTTTGTTTACAATTTTTTGTATTCCTCCTTTTTCTTATTTATTTATTTATAGGTTATAAAGATAAACAAGTCATGTACTTTATTTTTAATCTTATTTTTATCAAAAGAAATCAATGTGTGATAAACATAATGAACTCTTCTTTTTTTAATATTTATTTTTTAATTTTCATTGGGCACAGCATCTTTGTATGTGGGGCTGAGGATCGAACCCGGGCTGCACGCATGCCAGGCAAGCGCGCTACTGCTTGAGCCACATCCCCAGCCCCATAATGAACTCTTTAACAACAACAAAAAGTAACTAAAATACAAAGCCTTAAATCTAATTAAAATGTTAAAATGAAGGGAGAAAAGATAAGCCCTCTGGAAAAAAGAGTAATACATCTATCAAAAAAGAAAATCAAGCTAATTAGGCACTTTTTCTTAGTGATTCCATGTTGACTTTTGGTAATCACATTCTTCTTTTTCTAAACATTTATAACACATACTTTAAATGTAATATACTATGATAAACTGTATTATATTTTTATCAGGTATTCATGTGAAACTTAGCTGCTTCTTCAATGTGAGTAATCAAGGAAAAAAAATCCATTCAAAAACATATTTACTTTGACTTAATTCCAATATTTAATTTAATTTTGATTCAAGCACTACTAAAGAAGAATGAAGTACTGAATATTTACTGAAAAGTGTATAAATGGAAAAAGACTGAGAATCTCTACTGTAGGCAGGCAGATTTTATTTAAACATAGAAAACATCTTTCTATTAGGCAGAGCTGCTACCAGTGGAGTGGGCTTGCCTGTAGACTGAGAAGCCCTCTACTAAATCTTTCTTAAAAAAAGCTAATGGGCCATTTTCCCCGCTGATGGAGCACAAAGCCCTGATTCAGGAGGCAGCATTGATTAGATCAGTGTCTCTCAAACCATGGTGAAGAAGTACTTTTCTTTAATTTTCAACCTGTAGTGGACCAACACATGTATCACACATCTGAACATCACAGGTATGTCAAATTATAAAGGTTTCTAGATGTTTTTAACTTATTACATATAGGTAACAAACTGTAGGCTGGCATGAATAGAAAAACTATACTTTGAGTAGCACTAGATTAAACAGCCTGTAAGAAATCTACAGTTTTTCAAATTTACCTGCTTTGTCCTTCCCTCATCAGTTATTAATATTAAATCACTGATTTTTATAACAACCTCTTTCTTTGACAACGTAAGGAAAGAAGCAAACCAATTTTTTATCTTACTAAGTTGAAACAGCAAAATTATAATTTTTACCAAAACACATCTGAATGCTCATTTAAAACTAGCTGCAAAAAATTTATTTTCAGCCATTTCCCACACTTAATTTTCTGGTGTCACTTTCTTTGTTAAACCTGATAATGAAATGTGTAACAAATTATAGTTGATCACACATTTGTAATTCCAAATTTATTCTACCAGCTGGTAGCAAAACCAACAGAAAATTTATTAACGATGGGGTGAAGTAACAGTTTTTTAAATTTCAGAAGCACTGGGTAAAGAATTTAACTACCTATAACTACTTGTAAGACTTAGTGTTGAGCTGGCCAAACCAAATATGGTGAAAAATTATTTAAAAGGGGGCAAAATTAAGAGTTGTCCATTCTCATTTTCCCCTCAATACTCCCAGCTTTCTCTATCCAAGGACAATGATACATTTTTCTTAAAATCTGTTATCTTCTTCCCATTCAAAATAAAACAATCTTTCTCTTCAAAACACACTTTCAGATTTATATCATTCCAACTGCATCATATACAGTTAGGGTCCAATATCCCTTAATTCAGTATACTTTATACTTAGAGCAGAGGCAGAAAAGAATTTACTTCCTAACTGAGCATATGGATGGGATTTAGGAAGTCCATGAAATCTCTGAAGCTCCAATATTTTAAATTTTGGATGAATGGACAATTACACAGAAAAAATATTTATAATGTCAACACATTTTTAGAGGGTACATTAATCTGAAAAGATAAAGAGTGTCTTTCTTAAAACTGTGATCTCAACAGAAACATATAGTACAGGTTCTTCATTAATTGAGTAGATATAAAAGATTATTATATTAAATTGTGCAAACAAAAAGGACTTTATGAATAAATTCCTTCTATAAATAAATTCCTTTATTTTATAGGTGATAAAACTCACATTTGGAGAGGTTAAGGGAATGTTCAAGGTCATAATGCTTGCTGGAGGACAGAAACCAGAGACCAATGTTGGCTTCCAGCTTGCAGGTCCATTCACTCACACCCAACTACCCACATGGGGTCAGACAAGAAGATATTAGTAAGCATGCCAGCGTCAACAATCCCATCTCTAATAAATACACTATCTCAGTAAAAAAAAAAAAATCAAGTAATTCTTTAAACACCACTGGTTCCTAATATACATGTTCTCTCAAATACATTTTAGAATTTGCCTCCTTGCTAAGAGGCACAATCAACAACTTGTCAATCAGCTGAAAGACATGAGTGCTTGATCCTATTGCAATCAATCAGAGCCAAGGGCATTCACTTGACCTGCAAGGAACAGAGGATGTTTAGGAGCCAGAAGGCTTCAAGGAGGCACTTAAACACACTTCTTTCTCAATTACTCTGAAACTGCACAATGCAAAGTAAATTAGTTGAGTGGATCTTTCAGTAACTATTAAAGCTGTTTAAAAATTTTAAGCAAACCCTCTTTCCAAAGTTTATACTCTTGTTTATTCACTCTAAAGAAAGAAAGTGCAAAAACCAACAGAGATGATGTTCAGTGAAAAGAATTTTTATAGTAAGTAATTAAGTGGAGAAAGCTGAAAAAGAATGCCATATTTTGGTGTCAGGATGAATAGGAATCCAAAATTTGTTTTTAATTTTTTTTCTAAATAATTACAAAACTGAAAGTCTGTAAATAGAAGAAACCCTTCACTCGCACCCCCACCCTTTGACTTCTGAAATACAGTGCAACTTTCTACCATCTGTTATTTTAAAGCAGAAACAGTAATGAACATATGGGCTTTCTCTATCAAGCAGCTGTAGTGTAGTTAAAGTTATAATAATTGTCTTTTTGTAAGATAAATTTACATTATAAACCTGGCCAGTTAAAAACAAATGGCTCAGCCTCAGAGTATTCCAGAATAAAATTTAAAAATTCAGAATTTTCTATAATATATTCCACTCAGAGATATAGAGGAGATCCTCTAAATCTTGTGCTTTTGTGTGATGTTAAATATCTATAATTCATAGTGCCCAAATCATGTTTTCTCTTTCTTGATCAAAATGGTAAAGTATCAACCAGAGTTAGGTACTCATGAGTAAATGCTAGTAAGGAAGGTCTTAAAAGCCAATCATATGAATCCACTACTGGAAGTCACTGAACTCCACACTAAAGGTCTGCTTATTTTATCAACATCATCTCAATACATGTGACACATAAACTTCTAACTCAACTATATGCCATTTGTAATGAGTTTGACTAAACTGAAAGGAATTTGCAGCACATTCTGATCCACAAATTATGACAAATAGAAATCCTACCTACCTTTATCTGGGTGATTCAGAATCATGATTCTCTTGTGAGCCATTCTAATCTTGGCCTTGCCAGCAGATGGGCTATAAAGGAATTAAAGTGTTTGTAATAAATACTGCCAAATGCAGATTATAAATTAATGATTTATATGAATTTCAGGAAATTAAAAACTAATGAGAATTTCACCATCTTGTGGACAAATACAAAATTACAGCTTTTCACTTAATTACACAAACCAAAATACATCATTGATTCAATACCACATGTTTTTCTTCACTCCTTTATAAGGTCAGTCCTTATTCTCAATTAAAAAAATAAAACACATATTAATTAGAAGGGTCATAGTATGCAGATTATACTCGTAAGTTTATTTTTCAGGAAGGCATCATACATTGTATGGAAGATAAGGTATCTGGATTCCACAGCCAAAATACTGAATTTTCTTGGGCAAATTTTTGTGTTCAGTTTGAAAGAAGACTTCTGTAAATAGGCCAAAGGAATATGTTTGTGTTCAGTTTTTCTCATTGAAAAGGCTAGCAACAACATATTCTTCACAAAGCAAGTGTATGAATTAAATGAATTCATGCCTACATAGTGCTTAAAATAGTGCCTGGCACGACTATGTCTTCTGTAATAGTTAGCTTTTATTATCTTTCAACAAAAGATCTCAAAACTGCTGATATTTCATAGTTCATTTAGCTTTGTGAGAAACCTGTAGGAAAAACTTGGCTATTAGAGCCAATACTGTAAATAAAGTTAAAGGAGAAAGTCAAACAAACCTCAAATTATTTTAGTAAAACCTAATTTATCCATTATTGAAAATATTTCTCATTAGTACAATTTCTGGGCATGGAAAAAAATCAACACTAACAACGAAATCCTATTATTGCTACTTAATAGCTATACAATCTTATTTAAGCTACTTAACTTTTTCTGGGCCTCAAATGGGGCCAATAATAGCTTACTTAAAGTACAGGATAGTTGTTGTAAAGCTCAAAATAATTTAATTTGTACAGATGAACCACATATGGTGGCTAAAAGCATGTATTTTTAGCGTTATCCAGATCCAAGTTCACAATCCTAATTCCAACTACTCATTAACCATGAAATTCATCTTGCTTACTCAGTATGAGTTATAATTTTATCATATGTAAAATGCACATAATAAAACTTGCCTTCCAGGATTAAAGATAAATTAGTTAATATAAGTAAAAATATTAGAATAACCTAGCACAGTGTTAAAAAGTAGTTGTATTATGGATATAAAGGATGCTTATAAAATATACATTTCATACTTTTAAAATGCAGTATAAATATTCTAATTTAACATTTCTTTAATGATTCAGTATTGAGTATCAACTTAAAGCAAAAAATCTCAAAGTCTACAGAGGTTGGGTTGCTCTTCTTCTAAATGGAACTAGATGCTGCTTAAGATCTTCAGTCTACTTTGAACAATGCCTCCTCCCCTGGGCTATCAGGTGTGAATCCTTGAGTTTCTAACTACCTCTAACTTCCCGAGAGTAAACAGCAGATGACCAAGCATGTTAAAACGTGCTATTAATGGCTAAAAATTTCACATAAAATATTCTTCCATGCATAAAATGAGTAAGCCTTTTCATATAAGGACTTAAGAATATTCCTTTGCGCTGTTTACAGAAATCTTCTGGGGGACAGTTTCAAACTTACCTTTGGGCTTCTTGGTACGTCCCAGGGAGACAATCAGATACTGTTTGATTACAAAGAATACAGAATTTTGAGAAAGTAACCATTAGACATTGTACCATGGCTATGAACTGCTAAAGAGCCTGCCAATCCAGCTCTAACTGTGGGGAGCTTGAGGGCCTGGAGAAACCCTTCTGGAGATGGTTTCAGAGAACTGCGCCTGCCTTATAGCACAGCAAAAATAGCTTTTATAGTAGGTATGTGCCAATTTACATACAACAGTCATGATAGGCCAGAGGTGATACACAACATATCATATTAAGGGAGTCCAGACACCAAGAGTTCAGAAACTGCCACGTGGGCTGACCTGCTACCAACAGGAGAATAACTTCTTGTCAAAGGATCAAGGACATGGTGCTTGCCATGTTCTGACAGCACTTTGTCCCAAAACATAGTGTTCTATGTTAGGATTTCCTGCTGCACAATGAGCAAGATAAGCATTCCTCCATGAGGGTCCTAGGTCAGGCCCTGCAACAATGAACACTATATATTGTTTAACTGACAATTATTAAGAAATAAAAAACATTCCAGGCATGGGATATGGTGGCACATGCCTGTAATCCCAAAGACTTGAGAGGCTGAAGCAGGAGGACTGCAAAATTCGAGATTAGCCTCAGCAATTTAGCAAGGCCCTAAACAATTTGATGAGACCCTGTCTCAAAATAAGAAACAAAAAGGGCTGGGGATATAACTCAGTGTAAGGTGCCCCTGAGTTCAATGGGTGGGGGGGGGGTGCAGAGAGAGGGGAAGTGGGAGGAGGGAGAGGTGGAAGGGGAGAAGGTAGGGAGAGAAGAAGTAAAAAACACATCATTCTGAAAAATTCCACTATAATTTAGTTTCCTGTGGCTAATTTACATTTACATTCCCTTTTTTTGGTGCTCCCTAGCACTTTCTTCCTTTATTAGCTGTTTTCTAGATCTGCATATATTAGACATGTCTCCTTAGGTAGATTCTAAATCACTTAAGGGAAATAGCTCTGATTTGTCTCTTAAAATAGTATCTAAGATTATATATGCAATGGGTGCTTAGTGTATTTTATAACCTCCCCCCAAAATAAAATGTAAAAAGGAAAATCTCTTGAAGGAACAAAAGCTCTATATTAGTACGCTCACATTATAAAAGCCTATTGTATTACAAAAAATAAAGTTAACAAGGAGAGTTTTAAAAATCTATCTTATAAAGCTAATCACTAGATAATGAAGACATATATTTGGTACAAACCAAATTTCTATTGTACATTTTTTTTTTGAGGCTATACAGAATGTTACTTCTCACTCTGGGCATTGTTTTAATTGAATACATAAAACAAAGTCTGAAAATCCATCAAGATTATCCTTGAAAATCAATTACTTTGCCTATAAAATAACAGTTCACATGGTTTTGTACATAAAACTTCATAAAGGCCAGGTGTACACCTGTAATCTAAGCTATGTGGGAGGTTGAGACAGGAGATTCACAAGTTCAAGGCTGGCATTGGCAATTTAGCAAAACCCTTTCACAAAATAAAAAATGAAAAGGGATGGGGATGTAGTTTAGTACAGAACCTTCCTAGAAGTCATAAGGCCCTGGGTTCCATCTCTATTATTGCAAAACATAAAGTATTTATATACATTGAGATCTGTCAATCACCAAACTAGATTAAAGTAAAAAACACTGGAAAGGAAAATTCATCTGCACAAGTTTGGCAATTCAAAACATTCTGTCTTTAAGATAATAATTATCAGAATCTTAGTGGTGAGCTTTGAGGGTGAGGAAAATATTCTCATTTGCCTACAGGGTTTATTCCCTTTGTTATTGCTATCTTAAATCTCTGGGACCTTACTACATTTTAATACATGTGTTTGTGGTTGTAATGATTAAAGATGGAAAAATCCTAGATTTGAAACAGTATAAAAATTAAATATAGTTGTGATATACCTCTGGTATATAATTTCACCATGAAATTGAAAATGTAATTTTCAATATCATGCTACTTAGATCAGGGATTTCAAACTATGCTCCCTGGAATACATTTGGCTGATAGTGGGGAGGGGGGCAGTGTCAAACTGACTGGTGTTTTTCAACCTTGTGGCAAATAAGCAGTTCTGGTGCCATCTTAAAAAAATAAATAAATAAATAAAACAAAACCATTGGGATTTTAAACATTTAGGGCTTTTGGTGGGGGCAGTGGTGGAACTGGCGATTGAACTCAGGGGCCATCTACCACTTGCTTGATATTATTCAGAATGGCTGAATAATTTTATTTTTTATTTTGTGATAGGATCTCTCTAAGTTGCCGAGGCTGGCCTCAAACTTGCAATCTTCTTGTCGAATACTTCAAAGTCACTTGGATTATAGGCATGAGTGCACCTGACTTAACATTTAAACAGTCTTACAGATGTTTTTAGAAAGTTTGAAAATCACAGATGTGTATAATTTCAGATAATACCAGGTATAATAATAGTTTTCTGGGAAGCCCAAGTAAAATATTTTAGGCTTTTTTTTAATAGATAAGAGTTGTAGTACAAAAAACTATTCTTCTGCAAATAAAAATAAAGCGAGAACTCAAACACACATTTTACAAAGAATCACAATTAAATGTAATAGGTAAGAATGTACAAAATCTTTCAGTAGCACACAGAATACTTTTCTTTAATAGAGCACCGACAGATCGGCTCCATTTTGCCTTTATCTATTTGTTACATAGTCTATATAGTTTAGAGTCAATGACCATAAAAAAACAAAACCACATCAACATATTCACATCTTGAAGTATCCTGTCATAATCAACACTGCCTTGAAGGAAAGACAGAGTCAGTGGAAAGCACATAAGTCGGCGTGAACATACTTTATATACAGAGATAAGAAAATTTGTGCTCTATATGTGTAATAAGAATTGTAATGCATTCCACTGTTGTGGTGTATTTAAAAAAATGATAATAAAATAAAAAAGGAAGAATTTTAAAATAATCAATAAACAATGTGGCATTAATTATATCATAAAAAAAGAAAAAAAGAAAGCAGATGTCTCATCTTTTCATTTAATGTGTTAGAGACAAATATTTAGCATCTGCATTCATGATAGAGATAAGAAGAGAGGGATCAACATTTACTCATTATCTGATAATTGCAAGATATCATTGTATCATTCTTATTCTTATCAATCAGAATAAAATATTAATTCCAATTCAAAAATTAAGAAAATGAAGTACAGAAAAGCTAAAACTAATTTTATATATATTAATAATTTACTCTTTACAGAAAATCTATGCAGTAGAAGCTAATCTATTTTACAGATGAATAAGCCAAGGTCATGAATTTAAATGGTAAAACTGACACCCAGATCCACCTGATACTAGAGTCTGTGCTCTGAATCACTGATTTATCCTTGTGAATTTTATATAGCTTTCAGTTCAATAGAATAAAACTTTATAATCACACATTTTAAGCAAATTCAATAATACAAGCAACTACTATAAACATGAGATTTCTTGGATAACATTAAATTATTACCCTAAAAAACTTTATGCTTGGATTTATAATGTGTTTTACAATCGCATCTCAAGACTAGGAATGGGATGTTATGAGAGTCCAAAAAGTTTAAGAAAAATAACAATGCCATTTTGAATAATATAAAGCAAGGAATAGTCAGGGATATAATCTAACTTTCTAATCTGCCTCCCCTGGTCAGTATTATTCGTTACTTTTAATCCTCTGACAAGAAAATTCTCATCTCTTAGATTTAAATAAAGCAACAAGCTAAACTGAGGACACCATCACCCCCTTTTTGTTTTCTGCCAGTTCATAAAATATAACATGTTTTGGTTTGAAAACTGTACTGATTTACAAAAGATTAAATTTTTTTTGTCAATATGACTTTAATCATCTGTTCTACTTAATCATATTGATTAAAACACAAGATTTTTTGTAGATTATACAATCAACTTCCACAAAAACTTTAGAGTGGGCTCTAATGGAATACAAGGAAGACAAATGAATACAGTTGCTTATAAATTTATGTGAGGGAAAATATTTTTAACATTAAATCATAATCATACAGCAATCACACAAATCAATAACTTTCTCCTATACTAAAATTAGACATTAAATGGACACTAAGGTGAAACAAGTGCAACAAAATATGCAAGATGTCAAACTGCAGAAGTACAAAAAGAATTGTGAGGGTTGAGCTGTGGTAGAACGCTTGCCTCGAATGTGTGAGGCACTGGGTTTGATCCTCAGCACCACACAAAAACAAATAAATAAAGATATTTTGTCTACCTACAACTAAAAAAAAAAAAAAAATTAAAAGAATTGTGAAAAAGAACCTGCAGTATAATTATGTATATGTCAAAATTATAAAACTGAATCCAGAGAGAATTCAGTGTTACATGAGGGATATTTTGATGAACTGATTTGAAACTTTATAATTCAAATATAATAGTTCCTTGTTAAAAAAACAACAACAAAGAACACCGCAATTTTAGATGATTTTTTTTTTAAGCGGCAAGAGGGGCATACTCTGAGAACTGAAGTTCATTCGTTCATTCATTCATTCATTCATTTTGCATGAATGAACCTAATAATTGATGGATCATAGTGTCCTGCCCTTTGGTTCTTGTGTCCCCAAAAGAGATGAATTCAAGCAAGATAGATAGATTATAGCAGAAACAGTCAAAGTTTATTGAAAGATAGTATACTCTCAAGAGATAGAAGGCAAGTAGGTTGTCTCTAAGAAGATAGACCATTAGCACCTTTGTCCTCTAAAATTTATCATTATTTAAACAGGATCGTGTAATTTATTCCTCCTATTCCCTATGATTAACACTTGTATAGACAATAAAACTGTATCTCCATGCATATGCCCATTACCCATAAGTACCTGCATGAAAACTCACAGGGTAGGAAGGATCAAAAGCACAATTACAATAAAATGTAAATGACATTATAATAAGGCAAAGCTAACTTTCAGTCACTCAGGCCAGTTGAAATTAGTTTGGTTTTGTTGACCAGCCAGTGGCTGCCATGGTCTTTTCCAACAAAGGCATCATTCTTTCCCTTGTGATGCATGTAGTATTTGCAGTTATTATTCCTACACATGTTTACCCCTGATACAGGGTCTTTTTGTACATAGGTAAAGGAAAGAAAACCTTAAAGTTGGTTATAGTCATTCATCTTATAGATGTAGAAACAATCACATTGACCGCTCTTGGATTACTGATTAACATTCCATTGCTCATGTCTAATTGCTACCAACAAACCCAGGGGTGCTCACCACTAAGTTACATCCCCAACCCTTCCTATTACTCATTTTTATTTTGAGACAGAGTCTTGTTAAGTTGGCCTAGAACCTGTGATCTTGCTTCTGCCTCCAGAGTTGCTGGGCCTGAGCCAGGAGGTTCTCCTAGAACTAAAGTTTTAAACTGTAAAGATTTGGTCTTCTACTTGTAATTATAAATATAAGTATAACCTTACTGTAACATTTTTTTTATTTTTAAAGACAATCTTAGTCATAAAATAAAAATACATATGCAGCATACCTACCTTACACCTAAAATGAGACTAGCTTCTCGCCTGCTCATTTTCTGTTCAAATCCTCCTTTATAGTAGGACGAAAGGCTCTGTACAGGAAAGAAAAGAGCAAGAAATAATTAGTTCCATGTATGAAGTAACATAACCTTAATCCCATCACATAACAAAGTCACAGCAATGCATTTTTCTAGAAGTTGACTTGAAATTGTGGAGGAAAAGCACTAAACAATCATCCTTTTTCAAGAAACTCTAGCCAAAAGGAACACTAAAAATGTTAACAAAATTTCTTCACTTTAAAACACATTAATATTTTTGCACTCAAATATAACTGAAGGAACAAGAGATCTGCAGAAGCAAAATGCCTCAACTTAGAGCTCTGAGGTATACTTTCTCATTGAATAACCTTGAGCAAATCATTTATGTTGACATGGCAGACACTTTTTGCGGCTGAGAAAGAAAGTGAGTGCATCAAAATAGCAGACAAGCACACCAAGAGAGACTGGGAAACTGGACTGAATGGTCAATATGGCTGAAGAGGTGCGAACTAGGAGGAGAGGAGGAACAGAAAAGCAATGGGGGCCAATTGTGAAGCAATGAGAAGATAGGATTTCATTTTAAGCCGAAGGAAAAACTGTTCAGAACACTGGAGTAATACAGTGTGACTTTGTTTTGAAAAGATCACTCTAATTACTGTGTGGCCAATAGAAAGGAATACTGGTTGAAGCAGATCAGTTAACAGAACATAACAATAAAACAGGCAAGAGCTGATAATGGTATGGATCAACAAAATAGTATAACACAAAAGGTGGTGAAAAGCAGACAGATTCTGAATATATTCTAAAAGCAGAACTAAAATTTACCTGATAGTCTGAATATAGGAAATGACAAAAAGAGAAGAATTATCAATGATGTAGAGACAACATTGTACATTGTCCAGAACCCCATTTAGGAGTGAAAAATTTAAGTCCTTAGATGCTGGGGCTGCAGATGGCAGAGAGGTTTCAGCTCTCAGACCCTTGAGGAGTGGCTTTATTTGAAAAAAGTTAATCTCATGCCCTCTTCCTGGGGTAGGCTGTATCTAATGAGTGGTTGACAAGAGGGTAGAAGCATTGTAGTTCTCTAAGTTACAGTCTTTGGACTTGCCTATATTCATTTACCACGTAATATCATTTACTCTCATAGACCCTTCACAACTTGGGATAACCATAATGAACTATCCTAGCTTTGAAGGTTCTATGGGATCTATTAGGACAAAACTGCAGCCTAAATTGTGCCTCCATCCTTCTTTTTCTTTCTTTCTGTAGTTGCTGATCCTAAGAGCACTAAACTTATAGTTACTAATCTTTGTCTCAGTCTGCTTTTCAGAGAATCCAAACTGTATAAAATGATTTTAACCAAATTGTATAAAATGACTTCAAGGTTTGTGGTTTAAAACTGCCAAATTTCCATTTAATGAGTTAGAGAGCCAGGAACAATGGCACATGCCTGTAATTCAGCATCTTGGAGGCTAAAGCAGGAGGATTTCGAGTTCAAAGACAGTCTCAGCAATTTAGTGAGACTCTAAGCAACTCAGTGAGACCCTGTCTCTAAGTTAAAAAAAAAAAAAAAAAAAAGTCTGGGGCTGTGGCTCAGCGGTTAAGTGCCACTAGGTTCAATCCCCAGTTACCCCCCCCACCACCACACACACACACACACACACACACACACACACACACACAAAAGAGAGAAGAAATAGTCGTTTCTTGTGTCTAACATATATGAGGAGGATGGTTTCAAACATATTAACTTTGAAACATCTATTAAATATCTAAATAGAGAAACTCAACCCAGAGATAACATTCCAGTCATCAGTATACAGACAGTATTTAAAGCTCTAAGATTGAATCAGATCACCTAAGGATAAGAAGTCTAAACTGAGCCCTTAAAGACAACGTGCTCATTTAGTGACATGAAACTGGAGAGGAATTAGTAAAAGTATCTGAGAAGATGGAGCAGTAAGGTAGGAGGAAAACAAAAAGCCCATATAAGGAAGTGAAAAATGGTTTCAAATACTTCTGACAGGTAAAGTAAAATGTAAGCTGAGAACTAACCTCTGCATTTAGGAAAGAGGAGGTCAAAGACCGAGAAGAGCTGCAGAAGGTGGGAGTGAGTTAAAGACCAAAAGGGAGGAGAGGAATGAAGGCAGCAAATAAAAATATTTTTAGGAGCTCTAAACAGATATAGGTTGTATGAAATCAGCTGTTAGAAGTACAATTAGGCACATATGATTGAACACATACATGTTTCTAAAACACAAGGCTATATTTTTGTAAGGAAACACAATTACGTATAATATCCATGGGGGATTAGCTTTAGGACCCCCACCCCCAATGATACCAAAATGCTTAGATGCTCAAGTTCCTTAAAGAAAATGGCATAGTATTTACATATAACCTACACATATATCCTTGCATACTTCAAGTCATCTCTAGATCATTTAGTATGATGTAAATAATACTTAGTACAATGCAAATGCTATGTAAACAATTGTAACACTGTATTATCTAGGGGATAATGACAAGAGAAAAAAGTCTATACACATTCAGCACAGATGCAATTTTTCCCAAATATTTTCAATCTACAGTTGGTGGAATTCACAAATGTGAACCCTTGGATATAGAGGCCTGATTGCATATGTTTGAATAAAATAAAATCTGAAAGTATATATAACAAAATGTTTACACAAAAAATATCATTTTGGGGTAGTGGGATTATGAATAATTTACTTCTTTTTAACATTCTGCATTTTTAACAATGAATACATGCTATTTATATAACTTTCAAAATTGGAATAAATAAGAATAACCAAGAAAATGATTAGAGCTTAAAAAATTGAGTCCCAGAGTCTGATCTAGACATTTATATAAACTCTTCTCTTTAACATCTTTTTATAAATTTCTATTAAGTAGTAATTCCTGGTAATTAATTCATTCAACAAGCACTTTGGCAACTAATAACACATCAGGTATTTTCAAGTGAGATACCTATCAGTCTACCAGTATCATGAGGAATATAACATGCTTACTATTCCAAATTTTAAGTAATTTACAATATAGAATGAAAACAAATATTCCTTCACTTCTGACACAGTTTTGAGGGAGGAAAAAAATGAATTGGTTAGTACCTATACTACCCTAGATAAGTTCTGTATCTTTCTAAACATGCAGAGAGAATACGTAGATAGATACAGAGTAGAGCTAAAGCTAGAGGTGGAAAGCAACAAGGGATTAAACAGAGGAAGAACACCTGGTTTTAATATTTCTCAGTAAATCCAAATCTTAACTGCATGCAAACCTTACTCCCTGTTATGGTTTGGATGTGAGATGTCTCCCTTTTTAAAGCTCATGTATGAGACAATGCAAAAAGGGTTAGAGGAGAAATGATTGGGTTATGAAAACCTTAACCCCAATCAGTGAATTAATCATCTGATGAGATTAACTGAGTGATAACTGAAGGCAGGTAAGGTGTGAATGAAGAAGGTGGGTCATTGGTGGCGTGCCTTTAGGGTATAGATTTTGTAACAGGAGAGTGGAATCTCTCTCTCTGCTCTCGGATCATCTCCTGAACTGCTCCATGCTGTCAACTCTTCTGCCATGATGTCCTGCCTCATCATGAGCCCCAAAGAATGGAATCAGTGATCTATGTATGAACTGAGCCCTCTGAAACCATGAGCCCCCTGAAACCATGAGCCCCCAAATAAACTTTTCCTCTTCTAAAATTGTTCTCATAAGGTCCTTTAGTTACATCAGAGAAAAAGCTGACTAAAACATTCCCTAAATAAAAGCTTATTATCCAATTTAGTTGCAGCAAAATAGCAGTATCACCAACTTGATCCACAGCAGTCATTTCTACAGAAGCATATTTGTTCTATTTTTGTTTTTAAATCATGTTTGAGATTAACGCATAGGGTAATTATTCAGGAAAAAAAAACATTTCTGTGAGTCTTTACCTTAGGGAGCTTGAAAATTTTGAATCAGCACAATAAAGAAGAAAAATTGATGATATTTCCAGTCATTCCCACTACTGTCATAAAACTCATTAACCTTAAAAGCAAGTATTGGTATTTGTGCAATGTTTTCTTTTAATTTTTAGCTTTGCCCAAGTGGAAATGTAGTCTCAGAAAAGGCTCTTTAAAATCCAGGAAGTTGTCAGGAAGTTGTGTGTATCCTGAAGAATTGACTAATAGGAGTAAGTCAATTGTTACATAGATAATTCTCATGCACCTTCTAAAAGAAACTTCATTTTGAAGATAGAAGCTTAATGATGTGGGTGCTGTATACAGAAAAGCATACAAAGAGAAAACAAAATAAAAACAAAATGCTGACACCTAACATACTTGCACATTTCTTCACTGAAAAATCATGCCTTTGAAAGTCATGAAATTCAGATTTTTTATCACACTATTTTAAATAGAATTATCATAATTTTAATCTATTATGTTTAAGTTAGTATCTGTGTTATGAGCAGGCACAAAATTATTACTCTGTATCTTTCCTCCCTAATATTAAAGTATAACTAAAAGGTTCTCTTAAGCTTTATAATAATATATCAATATTTAGATTGCATTATTCAGATTATAAGGACCTTAAGGCACTGTAGAACCACTTCTGACAATGCTGTGGTGGGCTAAAGGAAATGTTTAGATCTATAAAAATTAGATTACTACAAGAAATAACTATATCATCAAATAAGTGAAGTAAATAGTTATATTTGTCTAATATGATTTCCAAGAACAGAAACAGTGAGACTCTACTAGTTTTATAATACTGTCTATTAGAAACATATCCTGGTTCTTCCAAATTATTATTTTGCATTATTCCATTCACAAAGTATAAACTACAGAAGTCAAAATAATTTCTTCCTAAAATTAGAATTAAATGCTTCAGTACCATAGTTTACCAAAGAAGATATGAAATAACCTAGTTAAACCAGTCATCATTTGCTACCACTCAGTAACATGAAACACAAAAGTCCTCCAAATGGGTAAGAACTTTATCATCATCTCATGAGAAGAAATACATTTATCACAAGCTGTATAGTTTTATTACTT